TTTTATTGGATATTTACTATGTCCAAATCACTCTTGTAAACACTTTATTTAATCCCCTTGTCAACCCTGTGAGATAGGCACTGTTATCAGCATTTTCCACTTGAGAAAACTGTGGTCCAGATAAATTGAATAGTTTGTGAGAGTCACGCAGATTAGGGAGTGGTAGAGTGAAAAACCCTGGCTCTATACCATGCGCTCCACCTCCAGGTTACATCGCTTCCCTAATTATGCAATAGTCCATGAATGAATGGACAATACTTTTTTCAGTCATTTCCCTATTGATGCAAACTGAGGTGAGTTCCTTTTTTTCTCTTTTTATTTTTCTACCACCCATAATGTTGAAATATACAACGCTGAAATACATTCTGACACTTTTTTTCCGTTGAACAGAGAGACCCACATTAATTTCTTCCTGTGCCTAATTTGGGAGAACCCTACCCATTCTGGCAGTCTGTCTTGGTTGGACAAGGGGTCCTGGTTATCGTAATTTGTATTCCAGCGACCACTCAGGAATTCTTGCTTCACCAACCCCTCTGAATCCTCCTCATATCTCTCTAGTACAGGGCAGGATGAAGGGCCCTGGTTAAGTGAACAGAGCTTCCACTTAGAGGCGGGGGAAGTGAGCTGTAAGGGATACCGTCCCCTAAATGTGTCAGATGCGATCACGTGGCCTGGATTTATGAAGTGCACTGAAATATTTGTTTTGATTGCTCACTGATTAGAATACAGTCTAATGCACAATCTTGACAGACATCTAGGCCAGCTACCCTTACTTTAAGAATCTAGGTCAGGGATGCCCAACTTCTTCTAATTCAGCAGTCTCATCTCATTAAAGGGTTATGCAAAGAAACCTCAGTTGGGTCCGTACAACTGGCTGCTTCCTTTCCAGTATTTAATATGACAGGGACCCGGCGGCCGCCAGCGGTCCTGTCCATTGATTTGCAACGCGCCCTTCCTCATTGTTTGGTTTAGAGTCTGAGAAAGCAATTAGCTGGGGATCTTAAGAAAAATGGATGTACCATACGAAAAGTGGACATATGATTTAATACTGAAATAACTCATAAAGATATTTGGGGTAAGGTGTTAGACAAAACCCCATATGTTGCAGATGCTTACAAATGGGGTTTTGTAAAAACCTGAGAATTATTTAGATGGAAATGATTAAAAATCTCAAGTGGTATGTTTTAAAATTTTAATCTAGAAGCACTGCAGGGTATATATTTATCAGCAGATTGCTACATTGTGCTACCATATGAAAATGAGACTGAAATAGATTTGGTTACTTTAAGGTAAATTACCCAGTGAAATGCAGGAGGAAAGTCATTGCATAATTTGGGAGATCTTGTGTTTGTTGCTGGGTGGTGCATTTTTGTGTGGCGTAGGGGTTAGGGGTGGATAAGCATGTGGTTTTCTTTTTTCTTTTTTTTTAGTACCATACAGGCTTTAGGGTAACCAATAGTCACTGTCTATAGTATATGCTAGAAAGAAATGCATTCAAGTTGCCGGTTTGATTTCCGGTCAGGGGAACAAAGATTTCGATAATGCTTGAGACTTTTATGTAACTTTTTATTAAGTCTTTGTGTATCTCAACTATTAATAAAGAAAAGAGGAAAGAAAGATGCATTTATGATCTTAAAAACTGATGATTACATACGCAAGAACTTCTGCTGTAGAAAACAAAGCATCACATAATCTCTCTCCTGCAGTGTCCGTCTGTCTGTTTCTCTCCTCGGCAGCCCTCTCCATTTCTGTTTGCAATCCTATTAATGTAGGGTAGGGCCCAGGAGCATTGAAGTATAAAGCTTCAGCCTTGAGCATGGATGCAGGCTTCAGTCTGTTCTTTTACTCTGTTCATGCAAGGTTGGGTAATATGACAGATATTGAATACCACTGTCTTCACCAGCCAGAGCCTGTTTCTTCATCCACAGTGCTGGCTGAGGTGCTGCTGATATCACCAATGGAAATTTTTCTGATATTCTTTTTGTTTTTTTTTTTTTTGAGAAAGTGGGAGGAAGGTAGGGAAGGAGGGGGAGAGAGAGAGAGAGAAGGAGAGAGAGAGAGAGAAATAATGATGTGAGAGAGACACATTGATTGGTTGCCTCCTGCACATACCCCAGTCAGAGACAGGGCTGAACCTGCAACCCATATAAGTGCCCTTGACTGGGAATGGAACCAGAGACCCTTTGGTGAGTGGGCTGATGCTCTAACCACTGAGCGACATTGGCCAAGGCTAAATGCATTAAGTTTTTGCCTGAAAGATGTAAAGCTCTGCCAAAGGAGAGGAAAAACCAGTTTCCCCTTGGTGTGGGATGCCTTCCATCTCACTCCTTTGGGGTTTGCTTCCTTTCACCTGTAAAGTGAGGAATTTGGGCCAGAATAGCTTTTCCTTCCCTGCCAGCTCTGATAATCTGAGATGGCCTTCCTTGTCTCAGCAGTTACACCTTGGGCTAAACCTGCAGCAGCCTGTGAGGCAAAGCTGTGGATCAGGGTCTGTGTTATTAAGGGCCTACTGACTTTAGATCTTTTCCCTGGTGGTGAATCAGAACTCCGGTCATCACTATTTGATAATCCAGCCAGCTCTGTTCCTATGATGACTAATGGATGTACATGGCGATGGCGCCCAGCCTCTCCCAGAGGTGAGGCATCCCTCAGACCTGGAAGTACATCAAAGGCCTAATCCATGGGATTCAACTGCTTCCTTCAGTTTCTATGCAGTCATTGATCCAAAAAACATGAAGAGTACAGGACATCTTCCCATCTTTGCTTTTAAATTGAATTCTGCTCTCTCAGCAGGTTGCATAATTTTTTTCAAGGCAGCAAAGACTCTGCCTCTGAATATTGAGATTTGTCTTAGAAGTTATAATGGGCTGGCACTGATGTCTGTACAGAAGTCCCTGGTTTATGCATTATAAATTACTTAAGATAGTCAACACTTTATCATAAAATGGGCTTTGTGTTAGATAATTTTGTCCAACTGTAGGCTAATGTGTTATGATCATGTTTAATGTAGTCGAAGCTATGATGTTTGATAGGGTAGGTGTATTAAATGCATTTTTGACTTATGATATTTTCAATCTATGATGGGTTTATTGGGATGTAACCCCATTGTAAATTGAGGAGCATCTGAATTTAATCTCAATTTAAATATTATTTTATTGTAGGTATTTGTTTCAATGTCCACTTATTCTTTCATGGCAGAGTTATTTCTCATTACACAGACATTCAATACAGTGAAACTTGAAAAAAGACTTTATAGGTATAGGAATTTATTCAATATATGGTACCTGTTCACCAAATTCAAGGAATGTGCAGATCCCTTGTCTGATATTCTAATAAAAGGGCACCTTCATTCGTTCATTTGTTTATAGGCCATTTGTTGTTTGCATCTCTCTTTTCTTTTCTTTTCTTTGGTTCCCATGATTTTGCTCATTTCCAAAAGGGAGCCATGCAGACCATGTGCTTGGGTACTGTCTGAGCTTACTATTTACTAGAAAATATGGGGAAGGAGGATTGGCTGAAATTTGCTGTTTTTTCAGTTCAATTATTTTCCCTGGATAGTTTAATTCAACTTTTTGCTTTTCCTTTAAGTCATTAAGCCTTCAGGTCAAACATAGAAAAACACAAGCAAACTTACAGTTATACTTCGATGATTCTTAATTTATCAGAAAGTAAAAATTTAAGGATATATTATTTTTTTTTCTGTAGTCTTAAATGAGATTTTAAAAAAATCATGTTTTAAGCCAAACCTTCTCTCTTCCCACCTCTCACCCTCATCCTTCGGAATAATAAACCTTTCTATGCCTCTTTCTGATGACTCTGAAAAAAAAAAAATCTCATGACACTATGATTCTCATTTATATTCATGTTTGATCAACCTGTTTTCTTTTTCAGATCCTCTCTTCAATTTTTTCACCTAGTTCTGTGCCCTCATGGTTGGACTACTTCACCAGGCTACCTCACCCTCTGGGCCCAGGTTGGTTTGGTCAGTGGGAGCTTTGGCAGGGATTAGAGGGAGGGAGGGGAATGGGGCCTGTGCATTTATTGCCTGTCCCACCTCTGTGTTGTCCAGTGCCTTGGCTGAATTTCTGGACTAGCTTACAGTTTCTGTAACACGTCCCTCTCCACCCAGCCTCTTTGTTTCCAAATTCCAGCAGCCCCCTTGCCCTTTTAGGCTTATGGGGATTAACAGGAATGGACTACTGATCCCAACTGTATTGTCTCTTGGGGCTTCCCTACCCCCGGCCCACCCCATTGTAGATAGGTCCTTTATTAAACTTTCTCCATTTCTAGCTGGGGCTCTTGATGGATAAAATGATACAATGAATGCTTCTATTACTGGGAAGTAGTGTGGTATAATGCTTATTTTCCATTTCATGTCAGATTGATCTAGGTTTGAGTATAACCTCATCACTTGATTATTGAAACACTCTGGGCCTCTGTTTTCTCACACTTAAAATGGGGAGAATATTATCTATTTCACAGAATTGTTACAAGAATATGCATGAGTACTCAAAAATGTTAATTACTATATTAGTTTAAATGTAAATACAGGGTGCCCCCCAAAACATATACACACTTTAACAGCTGATAGCTCAATTTAAAAAATGTATTTTAATAAACACTGCCTTTATAATTATTTAGAGTGTGTGTATACATTTTGGGGGGACACCCTATATGTGTATGTAATAAATTTTTTCATTTCCCTTTGATTTACACCGAATAGCTTCCTCACTGTGAGGCCCAGGCAATTACAAAGCAGTTATCTTTAGCTCCTTTACACTTTGTGTTGCTGATCTTTGTGTTCATGTTATGTGCCCCCCTCTCGCCCAGCGCTTCATAAGTTCCAGCTTATTTAAATGACACTTCATTTCCCACAGATGGTCCTGGCAGCTCTGGTAGTCCTACCTCAGGTTTGTGGAATTTCTTCAGATGGTGAGTGCTAGAAGCAGGGGGTCCTGGGGAAGTGAGAATCTTTTGCTGGTGTCTTAACCATGAGTAGAGTCTGCTGGCTGCTCAGGTGCTATACATCACTGGGTAATTCAACTGCTTTACAGAAGGGCTGTTTTTTGTTTCTGTCTCTTAATATATATATATACCTCTAAACTGTTTTGAGAGCACTGGCTTAGCCCAGAGAGGTGCTGCAAGGATTAGCTAATTGATTATTTTAAGTGCTTTGAAACTGGCAGAGTTTAGTGAGAAGAATGGGCTAAATAATTTTAGCAGGCTCAGTGGGATAACACATTCTATCAAATGGCTCCTAATTTGCTTTGTTATCTAGTAGGACTCGCTTATTAGACAACATGTCCCATAAAAATGAGTTATAAATGTTATTGCATGTAAAACATGACCTGAGGAAATGCTCTAAGATGCGAAGAGGTGTTGGAAAGTACACAAAGCTTTCGTCAAATGAAGCTGCAGCTACTGAAAGCACTTGGATTTCTCTGACTCCAACAAAGCTCTGTGAAGCGTGAGTCAGTAACATTTGTTTTTCTGGGCCTGCTGTGTTTCAGAGCTGGGTATAGTCACCATGGTTCTCTGCCTCAAAGTTCCATAGACTAGAAGAGGGGACAGATACACACAGTGAAAACCCTTCAATAAGGTGTAATAGGGGCTACCATGAAAATATACAAGGTACAGAGTTACAAAAAAAAATAAAAATCAAGTGTTAATTAGCTCAATCTGAGGAAAATAAGGAAAGGTTTATGGAGGAGGAGAGGCTTGAGTTGGTCTTTAAGGATGAGAAATTTGCCACAAGAGAAAGGGGTTGAGGGTATTCCAGAGAGAGAGAGAAGAGCACATGAAGAGCCCCGCCCCTGCCCACCCTGTTTCATTCAAATATATTTAAGACTTTCTACTTCCTCTATCTTATTTTTTTGTACATAGTAGATATTCAATTAATACTTGTAAATGGATAGTAGTAGGTAGTAGGATTATAGGTAGTGATTTCAATATTATTTGTTAGGTTTTTCTTTATTTTCTAAATTTTCCATAATAGACATCCCTTTCTTTTGCAATTAGAATATCCTAAAACATTCAGGGAGTGTTTATCAGAGTCAGTGGCTGCTTTGGAGTTGAAGATTATTATGTTCAAAGATGACAATGAACTTTGGGATTTGGGGATTTTTGTTAACCTGGTGGGGCAAAGGCTTGAGACTGTAGCGAGTATCACTAGAAATGAAGCTGAAATGATATAGGTCCGGGCTCACAGGTTTGGACTTTATGTTGTAGACAATGGCAAACCATTGAAATTATTGGGCCATGGTCAGAGTCCTCTGGCTTTGGGAGAGACTGGAGGGAAAGGACCGATTGTGACACTTTTATAGTCCAGGTGGAAAGTACTGAAGGATTTTAGGCTTGGGTAGGGTTGGGGAGAAGGTAACGAGTTTGGTTATAGACAGGATAAATTCACAGTGTCTGTTGGATAGTCTGTAAGTTCTTGGAACTGTCCACGAGGAAGAATCAGCACTTAAAACACCAGACTCCCTGGAGAAGGGGAGGGGAGGAGGCTTTCTGGAAGCCCAGGGAGGCAGTGAGGGGTGTGGACAGCAGGGTCAGAAGGAGAGAGGAACAGGAGAAAATGGTGCTGTAAAACCACAGGGGGAAGGAGCAAGAGGTGGGTCAGAAATGAGCAGATTTTCCAGACAGGAAGTAGATTATTTTCCTTTCTTCAGATATTTCTCTTCCTCATTGCTTACAGGTTTCTGCTCAAGATCACCTACCTAAAATATCGCCACTCGTCACTCCATCTCACCTTCCCCGAGCACTGTTTTAAAATGTAAGTTATTTTATTCAGGTATAGTGAGGCCAACAGATCGGGAGCAGATGACCATTAATTCTGGGCCTTCTGTCCAATGTCCTCATCTCATCACTGGAGGCAGATCACTTTCTAGGCGTAGAAAGCTGGGGAAATGGATCATTACATTTTTCTTTAACTACACACTGGATACATTATTGATTTAGAAATCTCCCTGTCTTGAATTTAAGATCCAGTCAAGTGGGATGGAAATGTCTGAGGTTCTTATAACATCTCATTAAAAAAAGAAGATTTTACAAATTTCATAGCCTTGATATCCCAAGGTCAAACCCGCATTTGGCTACTTCACAAAATGTTAATGTGGAAGAAATAGATTTACTAAAACTGGAAGGAAAAAAGAAATGGAGAAAACATCCTGAAGAAGTCACATGTAAGTTGAGATGTGTGTATGGAGAGGGAACCCTGCCTGCGTGGTTGTGGAAGGAAAAGTCCATGCTCATGATGGACGAGCATTTGGAGCCTCCATAGCAGTGTTGATTGCCATGTGCTCCTTCACCTTTTCCCCGTTGCTTTCCTGAATTACAGTGAGCCTGGAGCCGCCACTCCTGGTTCCTATGATTGCCCTTTCCAGGAAATTTTCAGGGGAGGGCCTTCATTTCTGTGCACAGTTGCACAGCTGTCAGTTGTACCATGTTTTACTACAGGTCCCTAAAGTTAGATGGGCTCTAGAGAAGTGACCTACCTAGAACTTCTTGTCTTCTCCTTGGAAAGACCCCCCCCAGAGATGGACGGTGTCTTCATATGAACAGCCAAAGATGCTTTGGCAGGGCTGATCCTAACTACATTCATTGCAAACTAATTGAAAAACCCTTCCCACCTGTTTTTGTGTAGAGCATATGGTGGACTCTTTCAAGTCCCAGATCCAAGTTCATTGCCAAATTTAATATTCTACCTTTAATGTATCCAAAAATCCCTTGGGAACTGAAGCTTCATTCCAATACCTTTGAGAAATACGCAGGCTATTTCAAGTTATGCTCCAAGTGCTGGGCGTCTTTCATTCATCCAGCCCTCACTGTGCTGCTATAAGATGGCGCCTTGTCCGTCTTGTGGTACCTGCTCTGGCCACTGAGGCAGTGTTTTTTCTCCTGCTTGTCCTGAGAGCCACTGGATCCTAGGCGGCTGATGTCCACTGAAGGCACTGTGAAGGTAGTACCTCTATTGCTGATGTCAGCCAACACCTGTGCCCAGGATGCCCAGGATGCCAGTGCCTGGTGACAGGGGCCTGTTCCTGGTGTCTTCACTAGGAGTGCTGGGTCCCAGGCCACAGAGCTGCCCGCATCAGTGCTCGGATGCCCTGCCTCAGAGATTAGAATCATGTTGTTTTGCTTCTCCACAGGCATCCTTCCTTTTTTTAAAAAAAGGGTTGTTTTTTTTTTATTGACTTTTGGGGGAAAGGGGGGAGAGGAACATTGACTGGTTGCCTCCCACACATGCCCTAACCAGGGGCGGGGAGTGAACATGCAACCTGAGTATGTGCCCTCGACTAGGAATCGAACCTTCAACCCTTCCGCCTGCAGGCTGATGCTCTGAACACTGAGCCACACTGGCCAGGGCTCACTAAATGTTGTTAATGATGTGACTCCATTTTACTTTTTTGCTGTAGCAAAAATTTAAACTATGCTGAAAAGCATAAGCATATGAAGAGACATCTCATATTCTCACCCCCAGACAGAACAAAGGTTAACGGTTTGTGTATCCCCCCACCCCGAGATTTCTTTGATGCATGCCCTCACACACGTAGTTCTTTTTTTGTTTGTTTTTCTAACACATACTTTAACTTCCTTTTTCACTATCAATGCCATAGGCCTCTTTCTCAGTTGGAATGTAGAATTATATCTCCTTTTAAAGAGCTGCTTTAGTAGCCACATATTATTCCACTGCATTAATGAACCATAATTTATGTTTGCATGTTCCCTTAATGATGGATAGTCAGGTTTTAAATTTTTTTGCTAGTTTTTTATTATCATAAACTCTGTGGCAAAGATGCTCATTTGTTCTCCTAGTAGTCTGCAGATTTATTTTTTAGCTTTAAATCTTTAATCCACATGGAATTTATTTTGTGCAGGAGGTAAGGTGGGGATTACAGTGATTTCTTGACTTTCATCATTCAAATGATTACCCACCTGAAGAGATTCAGTCTCCAGGCACCCAGGTAAACACGTTGCATCTGTTATAGAAATGCATTGAAAATTGTAATAAGGGGACTCTCTCTGATGGAAAATAGTGGGCAGTGCGTTGGGGAGAGGGAGCAGAGACAGCAGGCTCGGCCAGTACGGATGAGCGCAGGGGCTCTGCTTGCAGTTGGAGCGCTGCATTTTAATCAGCAATATGACTCCCGAATGTTTAGCTGCAACAGCAGGGGGATTAGAGACCCCTGCTTGCTCACCATAATTCCGAACCTGCACATCAGAGTGTCTAATTAGATCTTCTCTCGTTTGAAAGGTCAGCCAATAAAATTGTCATGTTGTGTCATTCAAGGTCGAGAAGTTACTCTGCTATAAGCTTGGTGGATTTTTTTTAAGGTTAAAAATTGCCTGTTCATGTCTAATGTCTTTAACAACCTTTACCAGATTAAGAGTCTGGCAGGCTGTCACGCAAAGGATCTCTGAAATCTTTCAGACACTTAGAGCAATTCTTGTCCTTTGTATTTTTTTTTTTTTCATTATCACTTTGGACACTATGCTAGAGAGAGTCAGTATCTTAAGCCCTTTGGTATTTTTTCCTGTTCACAAAGAAAACAATATTTAATTCAGTCTTTGTTTTGGGTGTTGGATTCTATAATTGGATATTATTTTCAATTAATTTCCATGGGAAGAAAACTCCAAATAAGCTATGCTCTTCTGGAAATATTATTATCATATAGAAATTAATGGAGCTAGATTTAAAAAATTTTTATTATATTACTTGGCTATAAGTGAAGTAAGTTATGGAGCTATCTTAATTCTTTGAAGCCACTAGGATCTTAATTAGAATTCTGTATGGGGTGACAAGTTCAGGGGGAAAAATGTGAATTATGGGCAACCCTTCTATGACAGTTGCTGCTGTCTCGCTCCACTTACTTGGCCTATACCAGTGGGGCCACCTCCTGGGTTCATCAGACCCCACACCAGCTTTCTCCATACTCAGGGCTGTTGGGCTGATAGCCTAAGGATCTGAGACTAGGGGGAGGGGTACTTAAAGCTGAAAATTACATTACTCCTATTTCAGTTATATTATGGGTTAAATTAGCTTTTGTGAGAGTATCAAGAAAATCTTATCACTAATATTATTTTCCAAAATGCAGTTGCATCAGAATCACCTGGGTTTTTGTTTTTTAAATCCTCACCCAAGGATATGTTTCTTACTGATTTTTAGAGAGAGGAGAAGGCGAGGGGAGAGAGAGAAACAATGTGAGAGAGAAACATCAATTGGTTGTCTCCTGTAAGCACCCCCACCAGGAATCAAACCCACGGCCCAGCCATGTGCCCTGACCAGAATTGAAGCCGAAATCTTTTTAGTGCACAGAAAGATGCTCCAACCAACTGAGCCACCGGGCCAAGGCTTACCTGGGTGTTTAGGCAAAATGCTGCTTGTTGGATTCAGAATCAGAATCTCCAGTAGTAGAGTTCAAGGATCTGTTTGTAAAAAGCCTCCTATGCTATTCCTTTGTGCATTAAGGTTTGAGAACATCTGACTGATAGAATGACTTCAATGGGAAACATGTACTGCGGCTCTAACCACCTGCCTTCAAAGCGCGCCTTTGGAATGCAGTGTGCGGGGCGTGGGGGCCGGCCCGCGTGTCACCTCGGCGGTCAGGATGACGACGGCATTGTAAATGTAGGGCTAACGTTAACTGGTGAGTGGATTTGGGCTCAGAGTGTTCGGGTTAAGTTCTAAGGAAGCCACTTTCAACCTTTTCATCTGGCACACAAACTGATTACTAAAGTTCTGCGGCACACCAAAAAATATATTTTTTGCTCATCTGACAAAAAATAGATATAATTTTGATTCATTCACACCAGATGGCTATTTTTGGTGTTGGCTGTTGTCATTTTTTTATTTGACAGTGTAAGGGAAAAGAGGTTAGTGCCCCTGACTAAACAGTCAGGTGTTGCATGTTTTAAAAATTCCTGCGGCACACATGTTGAAAATCGCTGTGTGAGGCGTGGAGCTGGTGAGTCCACAAAGAATTCAAGCAGGGCGTGGATATTCCGCTGGAAGGGGAAGCCCAAGAATAGCTTCAACATCTGCTCCTGATGTCAGCGGGCCACTCTGCTCCTCGAGGCTTGGCTAAGATGGCCCAAACCCTTTTCTACAGCCCCGGGAATGTCAGTGCCCTTTCCAAGATTACTACAGATCCTGGGGGACCTGTCTGCTCAGGGTTACTTCTGGGGGACCCCCTTTTCCTGCTCTGCATCTTGTGATGGTCCTTCAGCTCTGTCCAGTGTGGCAGCCCCCTTCTGGATCCCTCCAGCAGCAAAGGGTTATGCCATTAGTCAGAATCTTCACAGAGGATTGTGGAATCAAAGGGCAGGAGTCCCATTGCCACGTCACACATCACAGAACACCAGTCACAGTTGTGTCTTACACATCCCTGTCCTTGAAGGTGTTTTTGGTCAAACCATGACAGGGATATGTCTCACTGGTCAAGCCGCTTCATGTCACATCCTAGCCTCTCTCCATCTTGCTGGCTCCTCCCTCTCCTTTGTCTCAGCCATCTCTCCAGGCTTGCTTGGAGCTCCAAATTCCCCTCACTCTTTTATTCAGAAAATGTCAGCTCTCTTGAAACCCTTTTCCCAAACTTACCCCGCAGGACAACGCCAGCCAAGGTTCTTGGCTGAGCAAAAGGGCCATCCAGTTTTTTCTTTAACAGAACCCATCCTCCTTAGAATATAATTTTGGGATTAAACAGAATTCTCCTAAGATCTACTATATATTTCTTCCATGGAAAAATTAATTCTGTCTAGGCCCTACTGGATGCATAATGACAGAAAGAAGCTTTCTTCCTATATCACTAAAGAATCTTTTTTTATTGGGAGATGCTCATCTGGAAAAAATGAAGCAAGATTTCTCTAAGGTTTTAAAAGAGGTGCACACCAGTGAGCTCCCATTAGGTAACCTCACCAGTCTTTTACAACACCTTTGCTGCCATGTTTAGGAAAGATCCAAGTAAATGCAGGCAGAGTTATTCCCACTTGCCAGCAAAAGGAGTGGCGCCGATGC